TTGAGAATAAAACATTAGACCTTTAGACAGCTTTTGATCAAGCCCGAGCCTTAGATACAGCACAGAGAACATCTGAAACTTATGCAGACGGAATTCCAATAACAGCTGCTGCTCTATCAAACAAGGACGGGGAGAATTCGTTTATTAATCAACGGGCATTCGAAAACCAAGATAAAACTGATCAATCTGACGGACATCAAGAGAACAACGGCATAGAAAGGTACGTTGCCGCCTCTTCTAGATCAGCGAAATGTTTCTTCTGCGGTAATCGACCACACCATCGTTCCGCATGCCCGGCTAAAGACGCCTATTGTTATAAATGTAAAAAGAAAGGACATTTCCAAAGAGTATGTAAATCGGTCGCTACTCAGGCTTCGTATATAGCATTAGCATCAACTAAACATACAGTAGCAAAGTCACTAAAGAAGGCCTGTATTGATGTCTTGATTAATGGAAAATCTTGCGAAGCTCTAATTGATTCGGGAAGTACACATAATTTTATACATCCTAAAGTTGCAAGTAATCTGGGATTGAACGTTTATACAACTCAAGAGAAAGTAACAATGGCTGCATCCTCGTTTTCTTCTAAAATTCAAGGCTATTGTCTTGCAGATATTATACTTAAAGAGCGAGAGTATGCGAAAGTAAAACTGTTTGTCTTAACAAATTTATGTACGAACGTGATATTAGGACAAAATTGGCAGGAAAAACATGAAAGCATAATTATTGAGTATGGGGGAAAATCGCCCTCTTTAACGATATGTGGTTTATCAACTATAAATATAGGGCCACCGCCGTTGTTTCAATTTTTGTCTGAAGATTGTAGACTGGTAGCTGCAAAATCAAGAAGATACAGTGCCGAAGACAGAGCGTTCATCGCAACAGAAGTGTCGAAATTGCTTGAAGAAGGGATTATTGAAGAAAGTGACTCTCCCTGGAGAGCCCAAGTCGTTGTAACCAAGAACGAAAGACAAAAGAAAAGACTAGTAATCGATTACTCTGAAACAATTAATAAATTTACTCAGTTGGACGCTTATCCGATGCCAAGAATAGATGATACAGTAAACGCAGTTGCCCAATATAGTGTCTTTAGCACTGTAGATCTTAAAAGTGCATACCATCAAGTACCTATCAAAAATAAAGAGAGAAAGTACACGGCTTTTGAAGCTAACCATCGACTTTATCAGTTCCGTAAAATCCCATTTGGTGTAACTAATGGAGCGGCGGCCTTTCAACGATCAATGGATACTTTCATATCCGAAGAAGCTTTAGAAGATACTTTCGCGTATTTAGACAATATTACTATATGCGGTTACAATGAGGAGCATCATGATAAAAATTTGGAACTTTTTATGAAAGCAGCAAGGAAACGTAACCTAACATTTAATGAAAGCAAGTGCGTTTTTTCGGTAACTTCAATTAGTATACTCGGAAGTGTTGTATCTCAAGGAGAGATTAAGCCAGATCCGGAGAGACTAAAACCTTTGCGAGAGCTGCCAGCCCCACGTGATGCAAAAGCTCAAAGGCGTGTCATCGGTTTGTTTTCATATTACTCCCAATGGATTAAAGATGTTTCAACTAAAATTAGACCTTTGTCTCACAATTTAGCTTTTCCATTATCAAATGATGCGTTGCAAGCGTTTGATTTACTGAAAAATGATATTGAGAATGCTGTAGTAGGATCAATTGATGAATCTTATCCTTTCCAAATAGAGACCGATGCATCAGAATTTGCACTTTCAGCGACATTAAATCAACAAGGACGACCAGTAGCATTCTTCTCAAGAGCACTAAATGGTTCAGAACTAAAACACTCGTCAGTAGAAAAGGAAGCAGCTGCTATCGTGGAGGCCGTTCGTAGGTGGAAACATTATCTAACAGGTAAACATTTCAAACTAGTAATGGATCAGAGGTCAGTAGCTTATATGTTCAATTTGAAACGTCATGGTAAGATTAAGAACGATAAAATAATGCGGTGGAGATTGGAACTTTCTATGTATGATTTTGACATAGTATATAGAACAGGAGAAGAAAATATACCAGCGGATACCTTATCGAGAGTGAAGGTTATGTCGCTTACACTGGATAAACTTTTCGAACTTCATAAAGCACTGTGTCATCCTGGAGTATCTCGCATGAGTCACTTTGTAAAAAGCCAAAATTTACCATTTTCGATAGAAGAAATTAAGCGCATGATCGAATCATGTAGAGAGTGCCGAGAATGTAAACCCCAATACTATCGACCTGCACAGTCACATTTGATAAAAGCAACACAGCCGTTTGAAAGACTGAACCTAGATTTTAAAGGTCCGCTGCCTAGTACGGACAAGAAACGATATGTATTGACTATCATCGATGAGTATTCTAGATTCCCATTTGCGTTCCCATGTGAAGATGTTAGCGCTCGGACTATTGTTGCTTGTCTATTAGAATTATTCTCGGTTTTTGGTATGCCTACGTACATTCATTCTGATCGAGGGTCAGGATTTATGAGTGCTGAACTAAAGAGTTTTCTCTTACAGAAGGGTATTTCAAGTAGTAGAACAACAAGTTATAATCCTGCAGGAAATGGCCAAGTAGAAAAATTCAATGGAACGTTGTGGAAAACAGTTTGCCTCGCTTTACGATCGAAAAATCTACCCCTCAACCACTGGCAAGAGGTGATGCTGGACGCACTCCATTCGATTAGGTCCTTGTTATGTACGGCTACAAACGCTACTCCTCATGAACGATTATTTTCTTTTCAACGTAAGTCAACGAGCGGGGTGTCTGTCCCTTCATGGTTAGCTACACCAGGAAAGGTTCTATTAAAACGTCAAGCGCGAAATTCAAAGTTTGAACCATTAGTGGACGAAGTACGTCTAATACAAGCAAACCCTCAATATGCTCACATTCGACACGCTGATGGAAGAGAGGATACCGTATCAACAAAATACTTAGCACCCCAAGGAGACTTAGGATTTCAAGACGGTATAACAACTTCTGCCCCTCCAATAGAAGTTCAAGACACTACAATACGTCCCACAGAAGACGCAAAGATAGAGATGTCTACGCCAACGGAAGAAGGGAGAGGAACAAAGTTTAACTGGAAAATATTGTAATGTAAAATTAGACTTTTAAGTCATAAAAGTCGACAGAATAATCGTGTATAACCATCTCTTTAATATAAACATAAAAAGGGTAAAGATAGTCCAGCTACACTCCATAAAAAGCTTTTTAAGATTCAACAGTCCTTTCTTCGTCATAATATTTACAGTTAAATTCTCCCACTTTACTACACAAGAGCATATCGGCGCTCACGTCCGGCAATTGTTGGCGTGATCAAAATTTTTAATTAATTATTGCAAAGAAACCAATGAACAAGCACATACAGATTTCTATAGGAAATCACCTGCTTTGAAATATTTGATATAACGCTCATACTTATTAACAATCGTGAGAATTGTCAAGTAATAACACAAGACTGTTAAGAATGATGCACAATTTAGCATGAATGTACTTGCAATTTTAAAATGAGAAACTAGCGTCATTTGTTATAATGTGATAAATAAGAATAAAATCTTTATAAAATGGCACATATTCCATAAATTTATCACGTCTAGATCGTAAGTCAACTAACGTCTGACAAGAATTCTAAATGAAAATATTTTTGCAAATATATAGCAATATGTTATTAAACTTACCTTTTCTTGATCAAACTGAAGAGTTTGTTTCCATTAAAGAATTTATCGTTGCCGGAAGTTTTTGTTCTTTATCAAATCACACGTCTACATAAATATGAAAGCAAGGTTGTTATACTATAAGCGCTAAATGTTTTATATCTTAAGGATAAAATATTTGGTAAACACTTGACATAAAATAACTAAGGTGCATGGCAACGATTTTTGTCAATTATATTTCTCACCTTTAACTCTATGAGCTGCGTCTTCTAAATTTTACAAAGCGTTCGGTAAAGATTATTGTCTTGTCTGTCTTACGAGTTGTTACGTGGCAAATTATATTGTTAACGGAATTTAAGAATGTCATAAATAAATTATGTAAGACAATGCACACAGTAAGATTTTAACAGTTATTAATCATGATATATGATTGTAAATGTAGATCGTCCAGGTTGTATTTCAGTAACATAATCCGGTGTTAATGTTAGACAATACATCATTGCCCTTCAGTGAAATTAATCTATGATAAACCTTTCACCTTTTAACTCTGATATACCGGTCACAAGCACGGGACTTGTAGCGTATAAGGCTCTCTGCTGTTGAATAGACTTGTCTCGTTTACAAGGAAGAGGAGTGGAAGGTTAATTTCTCAAATGTTGTTAGATAAGGTCGTTGTTGTTTGTAGTTGTTGTTATAGTGCTGTGTTATCATTCTTTTTGTTAAATAACATATTTTATGACACTTAGAACATGCCACCGCTTATTTGAGCACTTTTCTCTTAGCACGTAGAGTTAAAGAATTGTTTAAGAAATTTCAACCCTACTTTGAATAGTGTCTACTGCTTACTGTCTACTTAAATAAACTCAAGCAACTTTAATAAGGCCTAATTAACGAGTTCCCTTGTAATGATCGCTGACAATTTGAGGAAGTTTAGTCATTTTGCATGCATGCTTGTCTTAAGTAGTTCGAGTAATGCTTAGTTAAGCGTGGTGCCAATACGCGTTGTACGGACACGGAATCAACAGAAACTGCACTAGATTGTTGTATGTAACTTTACACTGGAATAATTGTTATTTCATACTAGAAACTTGTGAAAGAACGGAAATAGGAACTTATGTTTATACTTTTTTTTGTTGTCACACGTTGTAAGTCAGTCTTCTTCCGTCGCTGGCTGTGAATGTAAAAGCTTGAAATGTTTATTTGTGATGTAGAATAGTCATATTAGATAGTTATAAGTAAAATTGAAAATTGCGTGTCGACTACACGTACTGTAGGATAGTATACACTCCCAAAAACGAATCGGCAGACGCATAGCTGCTCTGTGCTAACGGAGAAAGTTGCTACAGTTAACGCCAGAGCTGGCGTCTTGTTAATTATATATTTTTTATAAAGAAGTTAAACATTAAAACCAACAAGCTTCAAAAGAATTATCATAATGACGCCAGTGCTAAACGAACATCATATGTTACACATTTTAAAATGAAAAACTAACAAACAAAAGGCATATATGTTAATCACATGTAGCCAGTGGCGTTGTCAGACTGTATATTTACTCCCTCTATGTAAATTCTCAAAGATTACCATTATTCATTTCTTTCAAATCTATTGCTCTAACAGTAATTGAACACAACAATATTTACATAGCGAGAGTGAAAGGTCGTGCTGGCTACGCCATTGCATATAGATATATTAAAAAAAAATGATCGCATATAATCAAAAAAATAAGTTGTGTTTGACTTTTTCATATGTTGATTTATGAAGTAAGGTGTCATGCGCTGACTATGTCATTTTGCATGGTCAACTTATGCTTTTTTACGAGTTTCAGTTCAAACAGCAATTACAACAAATAAAGTATAGTTCTTTTTGGAACTTAAAAGCGAGCTCAGCATGCTTGAAATAAAAATTTTAGAAATTGCGTATCCATATATTTTCTAATATTTTCAATGTTGCGTTTCAATTGTTTTTACGTAAATTATATCTAGGGGGTAATAACTAGTGCGAAAATATAATTATATTAAGGATTATTGATTTTAAAAAATCAATCAAAGATTGAGTATTCAATTCCGTATAACGGTAGTAGGAAACTGCTTGAAAATTTTGCAGCATCCCATGAATCAATATTAACATATTTACTCTTCACTTCGTCGTGAGATATAGCTTCGGTGTTTTGTATAATTAAAATAATTTGTCCATTACTCCACTCATTTTCACCTATTTTTGGAAGCAGTGGAAAAATTTCTCTCAGCTGTACCACGTTGTCCACGATGATCCACCAACTTTTCCAGAATTGTATTTGCGTGGATAGTAACGATCGCAAATCTTCGACTTTCTCAGTGATGGTCAGTTTTTCCTCTAAGTTTTCATTTAATCTAAACTTACCACAGTTCAAACGATAACAAAGTCCACGATAAGTTTCTAAAAGAGAATTTACATCTTTACCATCAAGAGTCCATACAAATGTAGTTTCGTTTTCATAATCGTACGATTTAAACAATTTTTCACAAACTTGTCTTGCAAGTTGAGATTTGCCACTTCCAGGAACACCAGAAATGTAGAAATATGTAAGCTCATTATTGTGATCTTTCCTTAATTGTTCGAGAACATTTATAATTTGATCTCTTAATTCAGTGCGTTCAAAGACATAATGGTTTGGTTTGTAAGGAAGGACATGAAATGATTCAAAGCTGTTTCGTTCAGTTTTCAATTCAATAATTTCGTTGAGGCTAAACTTTAGTATCAGAAATGACTTTTCAATTTGCTCAATTAAATCTTGAAATATAAAATCGGAAAATGTGGTCTGCTGATCATGTATTATTTTGTTTCGAACGTTACGAAGATCATCGACAGCATCCCATGCTTTCTTGTCAGATTGCTTTAAAGCCTCTCCAATTTTGTTCGAGTAAAGTATTGCATCAAATAATGTGGTGCAATCCCAAAGACTGGTGTCCCCATGTCGAAAATTCGATTGAATAACAGCCTTGTTCGGTCGACTTCTTCCTGCTTCTGAATTGTAAAGTTTCTCGCCAGAACGTTTTGTGTTATCCCATTCTCCATAGTATTTCTTGCATTTGTCATTCCACTTTGCAATGAAAAATTCGACGAGTTTTTCTTTAGCAACGTCAGTGACTATTTTATGAACGTAGTGCTTGTTTCGATCTTCTTTCGTCTGCATCTGTTTAAAAAAACTAATTAATTGTCTAAACCAAGAAAAGAAACATTAGAGAAGCGAGACAGATTTAGCTATAGGCAAAATAAATTACTTTACCACATCATTCGTTAATTTTACTACTTAGAAATTTATAACCAATGACTTTTTTAAAGGTGTTTTAAATTTAAAATTAGCTGTGATAATTTATTCGGCCTATAGCTGGATCCACTATTAATTAAAAATGATGTAAGTTGGAACATAATTTGAACTCAATTGCAATATAGAGTTTGAAGAGTGGTTAAATAATGAGTATAGCTTCCTGCAATATGCTTCACACGTATAGTGTGCCCATAATATTAAATTCATTTGTCCGGGAAAAGTCAGCACTATTAATTAATTACGTCAGCAAGACCCCAACAATCATTCAAAACACGACAATGTCATTCCAAAAGCTTCAAGTTTCAAATTTCAGGTAACTATCTTACTACTCCTTTATACTGAATAGCGACAGTGTCATGGTGCAGTAATAGCCATAAGGGGCGTTGAAAGTCAATTTTCCGAGTAGAAACATCGTAGTATGCCAATATTTTGGAAAGTTATTTAAACATCAAAAAAAAAATAATTTCGCAAAAATTTATAAAAAATTTATCATTTATTAATGCTAAGACTTATACAAATCCATGTAACCATGCACAAGGAATGTTTTGAGAATTTTATGTTGGGAGGACATTAATTTAAAAAAGGTATGTTAAGGCATGTGACAGACGGTCCAGAAATACATTACCAAATGGAACTTTGAAAATCTACTTTCGCAAATTTGTATTGCAATTTAATAACAAAATAAAAAATGTGTTATGAAAAGCTTTCTTAATTCAAGCTAGTAAAATATTTTCTGCAAAGAAATATTTGAAGCACTAATTGCAAATAACTCGAAAATGCCCAAACATCTTTATACGGTTGGGAGATGGTTGGTATTAGTGTGGAGCCACAAGTGTTGCCTGGAAGTACAAGCAGATTTAGGATTTTTCAAACATCAGACATGGAACACCTCCAAAGTTCTCACGGCTTTAAAACAGTCCAGGAGCATGTTCAGCTGCTATTCCAAAACACATAAGATATATTCTTAATGCTATTCAAAAACAGATATAATCTTTCAAAATTTCCACTTAGTTGTCAGACATAGACGCCCCGACAGACCTGTAATCACATCTCTATGTAATGCGTTTAGTAACAAATGAGGTAGCGCAATCTTAACGGATGTAAAAAAGCTCAGATACTAAACAATGCCAGTTGATTCCAATCTTTTACCATCTCTACATACAGTTCCAAAAAAATTTGATATTTCGTAAAAAAAGCTCAAAAATTTTTTCTGCCAAAGATTAAACAAAGATTGTCAATAAGAAAACTTGCAATTGACCATAACATTTGAAACTTGAATCCCTAGGAATTGCTTGTGTTGAAAGACCTACAGCTGACTAACAAACTTAGTAAATACACACAAACATGACTAATCAAAAATAGATAACAACTAAAGTCGTGAAGGTTTTCACTCTTGAACTAAATACACTGCACTTACATGTTTGTAAATGTAGATCATCCAGGTTGGTATAGTCTTGAGAAGGACTGTTTTTGCAGTAAACAACGAGAAAAACAGTCCTTCTCAGGACTAACCAACTTGGACGATCTACATTTACAAACATGTAACGATATTCCCGGGTTCAAATCATTTACTCTACACAGCACTAGTTAATCTTCTATATGAACGTGACGAAGCAGAATAGTTTAAGTTTGACACGGTTGTTTATCAATTACCATGTATAAAGTATTTGGTATTATTCATTTTACACTGTATACGTACGAAGAATGCATAATATATCCAATGAATACTTTACTTGTGTTGCTTAATTAAAGAAAGAAGATAAACCCAAACGTGCGTGTCAGAGCCGTCAAATATACTAAAAAAAATCGCAGTTTAACTGTACTGTAAAGTTATATTTTAAAGTAGAAAGAGTCGACAGCGGAATACAACTCTTTAATATACACATAAAAATGGTAAAGATAGTCAAGTTAAACTCCATAAAAAGCCTTTTTAAGTTCGAAAATACCATTTTCACCACATTGTTTATAGTTAAATTCTTCTTTACTACCTAAGTACACATCGGTGCTCACTTCCGTCAATTGTCGGCGTGATCAAAAACTTGAAAGGAGTGTCGCTTCTGTTTAGTTACATGTTCTGTGCCTATAAGTTCCCTCTAAGTCAAGGGCTATGAGCTTTCAGTCAAAGTATACATGAAAGAAAGCCAACTTTTATACAATTATTCTAAAGAAACTGCACTGAGAAAACACATATGAATTTCTATAGAATATTACCTGCTTTGAAATATTTGATATAACGCTCATACTTATTAACAATCGTGAGAATTGTCAAGTAATATTACAAGACTGTTAAGAATGGTGCACAATTTAGCATGAATGTATTTGCAATTTTAAAATGAGAAATTAGCGTCATTTGTTATAATGTGATAAATAACAATAAAATCTTTATAAAATGGCACATATTCCATTATTTTATCACCTCTAGATCGTAAGTCAAATATCGTCTGACAAGAATTCTAAATGAGATTATTTGTGCAAATATATAGCAACATGTTACTGAACTTACCTTTTCTTGATGAAACTGAAGAGTTTGTTGGCATTAAAGAATTTGTCGTTGCCGGAAGTTTTTGTTCTTTATCAAATCACACGTCTACATAAACATGAAAGCAAAGTTATTATATTATAAGTGCTAAATGTTTTATATCAAAATGACTAAATATTTTTGTGAATTATATTTCCCACCTTTAACACAGCATTCGGGAGAAGGTTGCTACCTTATCTATTCTATAAGTTGTTACGTGGCAAATTATGTTGTAAACAGAATTTAAGCATGTCATGAATAAATTTATGTCACACAATGACACACAGTGAGGAGTATGTTTTAATGAATAATCTAAAAGGTTTACTGTTTTCAAATATTATCATGTCAACCTTGGTCATTATGTATATTCAGTGAGCTCTAACGTAGCAATTTATGAATAAAAATATTTGCGCTCAACTTCAGCCTTAATCGTCTAGTTATGTGGATGCTAGAATTTTTAATGCATTGCGAGACTTAATTGTTATTGGCGTTTCTTTTAATATCAATACGTACCCATACTAGTAGTGTAGAAAGCTCAATATTTTGGATGAATGAATATTTTTTTGTTGATGCAGACATCTATCTAACGAATTCTATTTCATATACTGAAGCTAACAACTTACAATTCAAAAATTACTTACTCAAATGAATTACAATTATCTTTACTTTACATTTCAGAAACCACTATTACCATCCATATCAGAAAATCTTTGGAAACTCTGTTTGCTTATGAGATCAATGTAAATTTATTTTAGACGATATTGATCGACTCATTAAACTTTGACTCACTTCATGACAGACTGACAGACTTCAAATTTCATAGTTATTGACAATCATGACATTTTTGAAGTAATAACACAAAACGAATAAGACGAATGTATTTCCGAATTCGAAACCAAAAACAAGCGTTATTTGTTATAATCTCATAAAATAGAATATGATTAACGTCTGACAATCATTTTAACATGTGTATTTGTGTAAACATGTTGCAACATGTTTAAAAACTTACCTTTTCTTTGTCAAACTGAATAGAATTTTTCCAGCTAAGCTTTTGTAGTTGCTACTGTCTAGTACTTTTTGATATTTATCAAGTTGCACGCTTACATAAATATGAAAGCGATGTTATTATACTAAATGTGCTAAATATTTTATATCTTAAAGATAAAATATTCTGCTGACACTTTACGTAAAATAAATAAAGTGCATGCCAACTATTTTTGTCAACTAGCTTTATTTCTCACCTTTCACACTGTGAGCTGTGTCTTTTAAATTTTACAAATCAATTGGGAAAGTTTATTGCCTTATCTTCCTTAAGTTGTTACGTGGCAAATTATATTGTAGACGGAATGTCATAAATAAATTATGTAGGACAATGACACACAGTAAGATTTTCATAGATATTAATCATGTTCAATTATTTAGTATCGGTAAGGCATTTAATTTTACATCGACACTTAAAGTTTTATGCTAATTTTAAAGTAATAATGCACCATCACCACATGTTAGAAAAAGATAAATTGGTTCTATATGAAAAGTACTTTAACTCTTTGGGTTTTATATTTTATTACGACACCGATGTAGTGATTTATCGTGTACATGTCGTTGTTGCATGTTGAGGTATCTAATATTTAGATGCAATACACTATCTGAGATAACATAAGTTGATTTTATAAAGAAATAGGTTCTGATGAGGATCTCAGTTCACTTTATTTAGTTGAGACAAGATGTGATGGTAATTGCACACGAAATTATTCACTTAGAGAGAATAAGTCTTGAAAATCACCTAGCAAATTTGCTTTTAATTGATTATTGATAAAATGGTAAGAATGAACAGTAAAACATATTCAATGTTGCTCTGTTGTGTCTTATGATATCTTGGATGCCCCAGACTCAAATAAATTTTACATATATCTTTCATCTGAAGCCATTGAATTCCTTTCAACTCGCCAAAGCAGAAGTGAAAATATTGTTCTTGTTACTTTCTTTTATTTAGTATATATGATATCTCATCTATCATAGGAACTCATTCGTATATAAAATTTTGCTAGTAGGTTGGTTTGCCTGGAATTTTCCTTAAAAATAGATTTATATGAACCTGGCAAACAAAACCCATTAACGCATTTATATGCAATCATATTTCTGCCGAAATAACACATGACCCACATCCATATACTTCTTTTAAGGTTATGTTTATGCCGTCAGAAAGCCATTTTTTCCTGTAAGAAACTGTGAACAAAATAGATATTCAGAATTGGTTGTAAATCAACAACCAATATGAAAGTTAACACTTAGTGAATCTAGCACCTTCTTGGGGCTAATTTGAAACCACAACGTGCTGTTAAATGAAATTTGTTGTTTTTCCTCAAATATAAGAGCAGATTCAAACTGTCAAGTAGGATACAATATTTTTTGTTGTTGTTGAATGTAAGAGTGCTATTCTAGAACCAATAAGAATGCTATGTGATAGTAAACAGGGTGCGAAGTTAACACTCCATATGGAAACTTGGCAAATTCACGTGAGCGTAATTTAAGAAACTATATACAAGATATGCAGATTAAAAATTTATATGACACAATAAATAGAATGACAATTCAAATGCAATGATATTAGCACAAAGTTCGCGAAGTCAAATGTTCAAATCATTAATTATATTTCACATCAATTTTTCTATGAAACATTTACGCTTAAATATTTTTTGCTTAAAATTTCTTTTTAAGACTTAAATGTTTACAAGAATTTTCCAACGACGCCAATCTTCTTATAGAATCTTTATCAAACTACATTCTGTTGACGAGTTAGAGTTTCCATCTCCTTGGTTTTAAGATTCAAGTTTACTCTGATCTTTAGAACCAATGTCAGTTAGACTGCTATCTTCGTCTGTAGCTTTCATGATGTTGTTGACATCTGGCACAGTATTACTGTCATGGTCCTTAGATTACTCAGACTTTCCATCTCCTTGGTTTGAAGATTCAAGTTTACTCTGATCTTTAGAACTAATGTCAGTTAGACTGCCATCGTCTTTTGTAGCTTTCATGACGTCGTTGCCATTTGGCACAGGTTTACTGTAATCGTCGTTAGACGACTCAGACTTTCCATCTCCTTGGTTTGAAGATTCAAGTTTACTCTGATCTTTAGAAGTAATGTCAGTTAGACTGCCATCGTCGTTTGTAGCTTTCATGACGTCGTTGCCATTTGGCACAGGTTTACTGTAATCGTCGTTAGATGACTCAGATTTTCCGTCTCCTTGGTTTGAAGATTCAAGTTTACTCTGATCTTTAGAACTAATGTCAGTTAGACTTTCATCGTCGTTTGTAGCTTTCATGACGTCGTTGCCATTTGGCACAGTAATACTGTCATAGTCCTTAGATGACTCAGACTTTCCATCTCCTTGGTTTGAAGATTCAAGTTTACTCTGATCTTTAGAACCAATGTCAGTTAGACTGCCATCTTCGTCTGTAGCTTTCATGACGTCGTTGCGATCTAGAACAGTATTACTGTCATGTCGTTAGATGACTCAGACTTTCCATCTCCTTGGTTTGTACATTCAAGTTTACTCTGATCTTTAGAACCAATGTCAGTTAGACTGCCATCTTCGTCTGTAGCTTTCATGACGTATTTGCCATCTGGCACAGTATTACTGTCATGGTCATTACGTGACTCTGAATTTCCATCTTTGAACGAGCTTTGTCAATCAAAACGAAAATATCTGTTGACAACAAGCCATTTAGTAAAGGGACAATTTTGGGCAATATGATATCCGTTTGCTCTGTACTTGGAGAAAATGAAAAAACAAAATATTTGTCCGAACAAGCTTTAGAATTTGAAATTGACGAAATTTATTCGTCATGTAAAGAAATTAACGAGGTTGATTCGTGTCAGTTAATCGACAATATCAAATTGTTGCCAGGTAAGAAGACAATTTTTACGTTTATATGTATGCAATATTTAACCATGCTTGGTGATCATAGCTTTTGCTTTACCATGTGTTACGAACGTCCCGACTAATAATAAAATGGCCGCTTTTGGTTCAATTGCTCGTAACAAAAGGAGTAAAATCTTGTGGAGAAGTTGTTGTCAATTCTTTAGATATTTACTTATTACACTAATAATTTTGATATAAACGTTATATTATAAATGTTTAAATGTTCAAACTTATCTAAGACAACTGCTTTCAGTGACTCTTTCGTTGATGGATTGGATATATATCTGGATTCTTTGGTTGTTTTCGTAAATAGTTCGTTTTCTTTTACATGAGTCTTTCTTCTGATGTGGACTTCTACTAAGCACCAACATAACTACAACTTTCGATTCTCGGCTTATATGTGATTGTACAATGACGTACGATTAACCGCTTGTGCGTAAACTGTGGTCAGTGGATTACCCATGTCCTGTACGTTGTCTGTGAGGTCAATAGGGTGACCACGTCCTATACGTAAGCTTTTCCTGTTGTTGTGGTTAACATACACATGCACGTATGAGTAAGGCATTTTACAAAAATCACTAATAATATATTTAAGTATATAACAATAATAAGTATAATTTACATGATTATGGATTATCATGTAACACATGTAAGTCCCTTAGAGGCGTAACCATTGGTGAAATTATATACTTTAGAAATTCATAACCAATATTGTTTTTCTAAAAGTACTTTGATGTTTGTAAATGTTGATTGTTCAGGATGGTATAGTCCTGAGAAAGACTGTTTTTATTGTTGTTGACTGACTTTTCAGCAAGCTTAGCTATAGTCATCTTCAGAGTCAAATGATAGTATGAAATTTGTTGATCCATCATCAGTAACACAAAGATCTTCCACATTAAGGGTCCTGCCTATAACCAAATTTTTTGTCAACTTTGTAGAATCTCAAATGGATTAATAACATTGCTCTCTTTACAATACAAAATAGTTTTCTTTGTAGCATCATCAACTGATTTAAGTAATATTTATATAGAGTATCCGCTTCCCACCTGGCACTTCATTGGCAAAAATATTTCAATATTTCTTTATAATAATAACAGATATTAGTGGGAAAAAAAATCTATTTCTAATGCTTTATTTGCATTTTAAAATACCTCATATTACTTGCACTAAATTAAGCTTCTACCGGACATTTTTCCTAATCAATCCCTAAAAGCACATGAAACGGCATTCGCTCGATTTCGCTCGTGGTCTAGTCAGGCCAGCACCATCAAATTCTGTATTTCGAAGGGCTGTATGTGTTGAAAA